CCCCAAAACCCCAAAACCCCAAAACCCCTAGAGACCAATTAAATGCAAAAATCATTTAAATTAATATAATAGCGGGCTAAATCAATGGAGAAGTAAAATGAAGAAAGGTTAATCTACTTAGAAAAAGTTGATTTCATCAAATTTACTTTCAAAGCATATATATTCATCTCAAGTTTAGTATTTTTGTCTGTATATGTTTCAGAAGAGGTATTTTACAGAGGAACTAATTTAAGGTAATTTATGGTTAATAGGTTGCTTTAAGTTCAAACTTCAAATATCTATGACTATCTAATGAACAAACCTGATAGTTATGAAGTCCTAGATTATATTCCAGAGACAGACTATAGATAAATAACAGATAAGGAGTTCTTAGTGAATTATTTATAAAAGTCAAGGCCGCTAGTTCTAAAAGAATATGCCAAATCTTGGCCAGCTTATTAGAACTGGCAAAATACTAGTTACTTAGTTGAGATAGCAGGCTAAGAAATAATATCAGCTGAGAGAGTACCATTGAATAGCAATGAATATGCTTACTTTAAAAAGGCGTTTAAGAAATCTTTTATGACTTATGAGGATTTTGTAGTCTCAATGACCGATTAAAACAGAACATTCAATTACTATTTCGCTTAAGAGTCTATTCCTAAGCCAATGCTTTAGGATGTTTAGCAGCCACACTTTGTAAAAGATTACTTGAATATGGCTGAAGTAGCCTTCTGGCATGGAATAGGCACAGTTTCACTTCCACATACAGACACTGATGAAAATTTTATGTGTGTTTTCAAGGGCTACAAAAACTTTACAATAGTCTCACCATGGCAAAGCAGGTTTGTATATGCTGGCGTCTCTATAAATGGTGAAAAGATGCCTATGAATTACAGTCCTCTAAATTTTGATAAACCTGATTACCAAAAATACCCTATGTTCAAGCTTGCTAAAATCTACAATATTCATTTAAAAGCTGGTGATTGCTTATTTCTCCCTGGTGATTGGTGGCACTAAGTAACCAGCTCACCGACAGAATGTGTAGCAGTATCAACCTGGTACTAATAAAATCAAATTAGTGCACTTGTTTTCAAAGAATCTGCTGAGCTATTAGATTGATAAATGAAAGATTTGATTATTTAAAGATTAATGATTGATAGATTCATTGATATAGTTTTATGATAAATTTTATGATGTTAAATTTAATAAATTTGTGATTATTATTAATTTCATAATATGGTAAAAACTAAAAATCAAGACAAACCAAAATAGCAGTCTCCAGACCAACAAATAATAGAGCCTTAAAACTCTCAAAAACACTTAAGTAATTGCATCTCTATTTATAATAGACATATATTTAGACTAGAGTTCATCCTTGGTTTATGATAAATCTCAAGTAAATTAGGTTAGTTTATTGATATCATTTAATGAGAGTTATTTAGCAAAATTATTATGATGATGAAGGGTATGATATACTAGATATGGGGATCTTAGAAATATTGAAGTACTACCTATACTTTCTTGTGGTTTTCTTTGCAGTTGTGGGGTCATATTAGGAAGTCATGGCAAAGAGTTCCCATATAAATACTGCAATAAGACATTACTTCGGCTTGACTTTCTTTGTTGAATATACAGTTGCAGACCCAAATAATTTAAACTCATTTGAGGATGAAGTCGCTATATGTGATTATTAAGTAGTGACGCCTAAGATATTCTTTTAGGAATACGTTTCTAAGTACAGACCATGTCTCTTCAAGAACTATGGTAGGCAGTGGCCAGCTTATGAGAAATGGACAAATGAAAGCTACCTTAAGGAGATGGCAGGGGAGGAGATCATCTATGCAGAGCAGTAGAAGGATAATAGATTCGCTTACTTCACTGAGGGTGCTAAAAGAGCATATCTGACTTATGGAGAATTCCTTGACAAGTTCAAAGAACCAAACAGAAAATTCCACTACTATTACTCTTTTGAAGATCCTCCAGGCCCTCTCAAGAATGACATAGTCAACCCACCTATCATGGACTCAATATTCAAGTATACACAGGTCACATTCTGGCAAGGATATGGGACACTTACCAAGCCACATACTGATGCCATGGAAAACATGATGTGTGTATTCGAGGGATACAAAAACTTCTCCATAGTGGCACCTCATGAGAGAAAATACGTCTATGCAGGTTATGAAGGGGTACCAGATAATTATTCACCTGTGGAGTTCGTCAACCCTGACTATGATAAATGGCCAGACTTCAAAAAAGCTCATTTAAGAACTGTACACATTGCCCCAGGTGATTGTTTATATCTCCCAGCATACTATTGGCATTAAGTAGGCAGCTCTCCAGGAGTTTCAATAGGAGTTGCTACCTGGTATAAAACTCATCACTAAGCAGCTGATTTCATGTAGTTTGCTATGCAAAAGCATATCGTTTGACCTAAATTATAAGCTCAAAAGTCTAGCTTGATATTATTTTATTTAACCAGATAAAGTTTTTAAAGTATAAGCTATCTTAACTGGCGGGGTTTTGGGGTTTTGGGGG